GGTGGTCTCATTCGAAAGAGGGCCTCGAGACGTACACTCGATTCGCGTTCGAGAGGGTTCCTCGAGCTGAAGGGATCCCCCGAATTTGGTGCAGATTCGCCACGCCGTTATGTAGATATGGTCGTTCAAAGTTTCAATGGTTTTCCATAGACTTAAGCTTTAAAGTGTTTCATCCAGGTCGCCAGTAGCAAACAATGGAGCGCGCTCTGCTGGACAAACTAAGTAATTACACCATTTCAAGCATTTTATCTGCATTATATGTTCTGTAAAAAAAAAATTTCATATCGGCAGCATATTCGCCAATACCGATATATCAGCGACAGGCTCATATCGGCCGATAATATCGGCAAAACGATATATCGGTCGGGCTCTACTAATAAGCCAATAAGTGCTCCTCTGCTGCCGTCTACTGGTTATAATTGTGATTTGATGTCTTTTTTTAATTTTACATAAGTGTTTGTTTACCACAAAGTATATTTTGGTCATCCCATTAATAATAACATTCAAACTGGATAATTTTAGAGCTTTAAAGTGCTGGAAATAGTTGTGTGAAATGCTTGAAAGTCATTGAAAAGTGCTTGAATTTCTCTCTCAAAAGGTTGTACAAACCGTGAAATTAATGCTGTAATGCATTCGACTATTTCTACCACAACACCATGGTTACAGTTAGCGTTACCGCTTCTGGTTTTCTGACGTATGTCAGTGCTGTTTATAACAGAGAATTCTGTGCAGAATTTGAATGATTCTCACTAGATCTCGCAGCAACCTTATCATTGTGTGGCGAATTCAAACGCTTCTCACTGGATCTCGCAGCATTGTTGCATCTGTGCAGTAACAGTGTTGCGAAATCAATTTTGGCTCCCGAGTAAAGCTGTTCTGAGCTCGGACAAGTTTGTTTGCGTTGCGGTCCGAGCTGATAAATGGTCCACGCTGCGCAGCTGAAACGTAGAGTGGTTTAGTTTCACTTTCGTTTCATTTGCCGTTTAATGTTTCATATGCAACAGAAATGGCAGCGCTTATGAGTTGGACAACGCGGTGGTCGTACCAGTTTAACAAAAATTAGTCGCACCGGCAGAAAAAATGGTCGCAAAATGTGAACATTTGGTCGCAGTCTGGAGCCCTGCATCAAATCTTTTCTGAAGACAGTCAAAACCTTCAGAGTTTCATTCATATAATTAATTAATTTGTATAATTCCCTTAGCACTTTTAAAACCTCCCAGCTTTTCTGCCATATTTTCACACATAAAACGAAACTACTCTGCGTTCTGTGCGCACGTGACACTGTTACTTAAAACTTTGCTTTATGCTGGGCAGTATTTATTTATCCTCAGTTGTTCAAATCACGGTAATCGAATACGGTTTTAATAATTAAAATATGAAACGGTAATACTAACCGTGGGGAATTTCATCATGATTTATCGTCAAACTGGTAATCGTTCCATCCCTACTTGCAAGCATTAGCACATGTTAGCATGCTAAATTAAACTTTTATTTACCTTATGTGACATGGTGTCAATATAAAGCACAAGGGCAAAATTGTAAAAAGAGAAGGAAGGAAGGAAGGAAGGAAGAAAGAAAGGCCTCCATTGGTTCTTGCACAGTAACTGATTTTCAGTGGCATACAGCACACTCCACAACCTAAGCATAGGCTCCACTCTTCACCACAGTGGTAATCCCACAAAACATCAACCAACAACTCTTCTAAATCCCAACATAACAAAACACTAAACAGAAAAACTAAACTCTCCCTTTTCTCATATTGCTAAAATACACATAAAATAGCACTTAATTTCAACAATAATTCTCCCCATTCAGTTCCTTACAAAGAATGCTGGGAGATGGAAATCCCCAGCCTAGTTTCAGCAATGCTATGTTAATGCTAGGAAAAAAAGATTAATCCCAAATCGATTACCTTTACTTCGGTTTCATAAATGTAAATGGATAGCACACAATTCGGTTAGTTTGCAAAAAAATATTTTCCTTCACAATTCAGTTAGTTTCCTTCGTTCATAAAAGCTCATTTTAATCAAGTACACTGAGAAAGCAGATGTTAATGGATGCTAATTGCAGGTGTAAAGTGGCTCATACAAATGACATTAAGGTGAGTAGAGTCCTATGAAATCTCTTTTATTTTTTACCCAAATTACATTTTAATTTTCTGTATTCTGTTTCTGGAATCTATGTGGTGTCATTTAATTTTATAATAAAAAGAGTTAACAACATGCCACTTAACATTATTAGTAGGGTTGCACAATATATCGAAAATTATCAAAATATCGCAAATGTAAATATCGTGATATGCATATCGCAGCGGCATGCGATATCTGAATCATTTTAATAATAGGCTACTTCAATCAAAATGTTGCAAAAGGTCAAAGTTTTAGGTCGACGCATATAGCAGAGAATTGCTTGACGTTAAAAAAAGAAAACAACTCTTTGCTGTCTCATCTTGCTGTCTGACTCACACCTGAAGCGCGCGCACAAGCCGCACCTCGGACAGCATGTGATCTCTTCAGTTTTCTGTGCGTACACACCCAAAGCGCACACGCGCACACACAGAGACGTGTTTCCAACCCCGCGAACACCGAGTTGATTCGTCTTTCGCATCTCCTTGTGTTTGAACAGACACATACACAGAATTATGTCAAAATACCCGTCTTGACAATCATTATCGTAAACGCAGTCAGTTATGTTTTAAATGAATGTAAACAGCTGAGAAAGAAATCGGATGTGTATCATCATACTGGATCCGTGCAGTCAGTCTTAAAGGGACAGCAGCATATAAATACCTGCTGCTGAATATGTCACTAATGTTAATCAAAAACACAGCTTTAACAAAGATTAATCATAATTTAATTCATACAGTGAACACTATGCAGTGTTATTTTACAATTAATTATTACATTTTTGTACCTGAATACTACTGTTTATTTTAACTATGCTTGTAATTTGTGTATTTGTTCTTTTTGTTTTGTTTTGTTTGACTTTCTTAGGCTATAGTTTTTGCTGTAGTATATGTAGTAAGTGCACTTTAAGTAATAAACAAAGCAAAGTTACATTGATATAAAATAAGTGGCATTCATTTTTTGTTTGTTCACATTGATGTTAAAATTACATTTTCTGATTTGTGACATTACTTTTTATGTAATGCTAAAACACTGCTGGTCACTTTCAGAAGCTGTAGTGATGCTTTCTTTTCCAAGAAATAATGTGAAAGTGAAACATAGGTCTAATGGTTATATAATTTTCATTTTTAAATATTTTTAAATATAATTTTTATTAATTTTACACACACAAGTCAATATCGTATCGCATATGGAATATTGCATTATTTAACAAGGTATCGCATATCGCATTTTTCTTCAATATCGCACAGCCCTAATTATTAGCATTATTTTTTAGGGTTGAGTGATATATCAGTACCAGTGATGTTGTATACTTAATTGTGCATGCTAATTAATTAATACCTAAATTTAGCTGTAGCATTTAAATTAGTTTTTTCTTGGTGTTTTATTTTTTATTTATTTAGACAAAATAGCATAGAATTTTAATATTGGTCATTTGTTTGTTATAGGCCATGACATTTAGAATTTTCCCTGCATCAAATTTCTATTTAATATAATTTAATCACATTGCATTCTAAAAATTTACTATGCCATATCATGATTGAATCTGATTAATGTGGAGCCCAAATTTTGATTAATTTAATTTAAAATTTGTCTGTGAAAGTCTGTGAAAATCTGGTTCTTCTATGTTTCTGTCTGTGTTTTTCGCAGAAAAACTAAATTTAAGTGACTAATAAGTGACTACATTTTGAGAGAAACATGGGTTTTGGGAAATTCATATACCATGTTTATTATTGAATATTATAAAGCAATGTAATGGCCAATGAGAACATATGTTGAGAACCCTGCTAGACAACTTATTTAGATGTAGCTTCTAAAACATTATGGATTAAGAAGAGACAAGCATACAAGGCTTAAAGTACAAACGACAGAAATGTATGCACAAGGCCCACAAGCAAATACTAGACAGCTGTTAGAAAAGCCAAGCTGAATTACCACAGACATACAATGAATTAATGTGGATAAAAAGAGTTTCACAGGCTGATATTCCACTCACTAACTCTCCAATTAATTAGTTTATCTCATCTAAGAGACAGAATCACCACATTAAATCTTTGAAACCACCACATCAATAAATCAATGACTCAAAATAAACCATCAATTTTCTTAAACGGATGTCAAACTAGGAACAAATGATTACCTGGAACAAGGCCCAACTCTAAGTCACAATTACCACCTAACTGAGAGTACTTCTACATTGCAAGAAACAGACCTTGCTATTATCTTAAAAAGAAATAAAAGAAACATGGATTGAAGCATAATAGCAAAAGCCATCTGAACCAGCATAATGTTGACTAAATCATATGCTACCATTCAGTGGCAATCAATTACACTTAAGCGTGATAGTTGTGAGAAGTAAGAAAATGATTCTTGGCACAACTGACTGTGAGTGACTGAACATCTCTTGAGGGCATAATAAAGAGAACCACATCTTAAACCTTTTAGACCTGGCATCCATTACTATGAATGTGCATGTGACTCTGCTTTAGATCTTGTGGATGACAGGTTGTATGCTTAACAGCTAATCAAACAGAAAATATCGACCTTCATATTTTTATTTTAGAAAAATAAAGCACATTGACGACAGACATAATGGCACTTTAGCCAAAGTGCAAAAGTAATGGACCTTTAAAACTTTTTTATATTAACGGGCATCTCATAGCAGTTTGATAGATTTATTGTAAGTTTAAACTGATTTGTATAAGTCCTATTTCAACTGTAGCTTTACAAACTTTGGCCATTAAGCATTCATTTTTGACAGACCTTTTTTTCTGTCCAAAAATCCGTGTTTAAATTAAATAATCCACAATCCTGTCCACAATTTGCTGCATACAATGCTTTGTGGTCTTTTATTGTGTTGTTGTGAATGGACAATTAATCAGTGCCATCTATTTAAAACTACATTACATACCTTCTTTTCCATGCATTGCTCTTTGAAAAATCAATGCTTGATTAATTGCAAAAACCTGGTCTTTGCTGAGCAAAAGGATTATGTTGTCTAAATTAAGGAGCACAAACAACATCATATCAGCATCTCTCTTTCACCTGATTATGTTCTTGTTCAACTTTTTGATGTATTAGAAAGCAGTAATATTGTCTGTAAAAGGGCAGACAACAAAGTGAGCTCATATTAGGAGCATAATGTGTTATTAGGAATACATTAATCGTGTGAACCAGCCACATGTATGGACAAACTGTCTGCCGTCACTGCCTTTGAATGCTGCTAGTATATGACCATAAGAAATACTGAGACACTTTCTATTTTTCAATATTAGCCCTCAATCCTCAGACTAGACATACTACACAGCAGTGTTCAGCTATGTCTGCCCATAGTGCTGTTTGTCAGGCTGGCTATACACATTGTGACAAATCACCAGCAGGCAGCCTTGTTAAAACACTGATGTGGTTTAATGGGTGATGTCCGAGACCTGGGTACATCTGATGAGCTCTCAGCAGACATTAGTGACCAGCCATATCCACTAGAGCGATCACAATTCTGGCTGAAGTTTGCCTGTACTGTATTTCTTTTTCACATAGTGAAAGTTATTTCTAAATTAAATCTGGACTATGCAGCCTTTTTGGTTCTACGCTGGCTAAATCATTACGAACATCTCATCTAAAAGTTGTCGACATTCAGATACAGTAGGAGGCTGGCCTGAATCCACAAAGCCCAAAACAGCGACTTAATTCAGCTACCAAAGTGCCTGCAACAAACTGAAGAGAAAAACGAGCCTTCTTATGTATTTTCAGCCTCAGCCAAGCTCACCCATCCATGAAAATCCCATCTCAGGGAGAGAGGAGGTGAAGACCTGCGAGCACACACACATTCACTCGCACACAGCAGACAGTAAAGGACACGCTGCCAGATCCTCACTAAAGCCCTTTATCCTTATCATAACTACTCCCACAATTACTCACATGAGTGATTTACCTGTTTCTGCCAAGCCATGCTGCATTTTTACTGTCCTAGTGATACGAAAACCTCTAGGCACCAAACATTAACTGGGCCACTACAGACAGGTACACACAGCGGTTACATTATGCTAGAGTATGAGAGTGTGAGATGCAATATTTAAAGCATATACAGATACACAAGGTGGCATGTTCACTATACACACACCATCTGAAATAATTTCAAGATGACTACAAACAGCCGCTTCTGCCGTTTACTTTACATCTCTGGGCATGTTCATTAAAATCTTTGAGCTTTGAAATGGGAAGGACTCACTCTCAATGGCATAATGAGCAGACAGCATAACAAGAAGATGAGGCTGATTTAACTACACTTACAAATTTACACAAAAAATTAATGGTCTTAATTACACAGATCAACTAAGTTTTCAGAAGTGCCAAGAGAGAAGATAAACTGCCTATTAAACATGAGAACAGTGTCACTTCTATGGTAATAAGAGCTCCACAACACACCAAGCCGTATTAACATGCACATGATCCCACAACAAATACTTTATGTATAAAGTCCAACATAAAATATGCATGTTTTATACTCTAAGGGGAAATGTGTCTATAGTGATGACAAATCATTTCAACAAATAGTAGAGCTCAGTCTTGCTGTGCTATTGGATGGATGTTTTTCAAAGGTCAATGCTAGCAATTGGAACATAAGGGTTACATACACACTGCAGCTACATTTGGTTGTCAGTTCACCTTTTAGTGCTTAAATCTGTTCTGTACACACAGAGTTCAGTCATTTATGGGAGTGACCACCACAACAGAATTAAGTCCTGAAAAATTCAGGTAGTGACAACCGCATTTACAAAAATCGAATGCAGTGCGTACTAAACTAAATAACTAGTTATTAATGACATATTTAAAATGTCTTCTTGACTCATTCGTGTTGCCAGATCTTGCCAGAAAAGACAGCAAACAAGAACAAGCCCATAATAAATGTAAATAAATCCAAATACTTTATCTTGGAAATAAGACCAAAATGTTCACGACCTGAACCGGCCTACTTTATTAATTCCATAAACTGTATGGCCTTGTAAACCCAAACAAAGAATACGTTAACATGGCAACACTTCAAGAGCGCAATCTGTAAAACAGCTTTCCCAACATAACAAAACATGACAGTTTTGTCGACAGTGGTTTAGTTAAAATAGCAAAACATATCAATTCTTTGGTCACTGTAATATTACTTTGGGCAAAAATAGCGGCTATCAAGTGCGATATGCCAGGATGTTGTTATGTTTACCACGGTGTCAATCATGGAAATTTCAGAGTCAGTTCTGTTCCATACACACACAAAATGATAATTCAGTGGATTCACTCCCATTTTTAAATGCGGTTGTCACTCCCGAAGCTTTACATTGTGTACATAGCCAAGGTGTGCCAGATCTTACCCACCCACTGTCACTTTCAGTTACTAACAACACATCTGATATCGACAGCATACCCCCGTCAAAGCACTGACTCGTCAATCATCACAGAAAGCCCCAACATGAAGTCCCAAGGGAGGAGAGGATGACAAATGAAATCAAGAGGTAAATAAATGAATCAATGGATGAATAATAGATTAGGCAGCAAGTGGCCCCTTCGAGCACTGCCACGAATGCAATATTAATAAGCAGCTCTTACTGTTCGTCTCTGTGTCATCACTGACACTCTTAGGAGGAGCATGGGCTGAATAACACACAGCTGATCTGTACATTCGATCCGGATTACGGATTTTCTTCAGTCCTTCAGGAAGCCAAGAGAGAATGGAGAAGAAGTAAAAAAGAATTCTGGGAAAAGTGCACATTCCCGGATGTACAACTTTGTCTTATTCTTTATTTCCCCCATGCACATAGCAGGAACTTATAAGAATGTGTACCAGGGTCAGCGATGTTGTGTCTGCCAAACCCCAGTCTCCCTCCCAACAGCAAGCCCATGCATCCCAAATGTGTCCATCTCCATGCTGAAGAACACCTCTCCCAAACAATATGCACCATTCGGCCTCAGAGTTCAGTGTGCCTATTTGCTTCTCCCCCTTTT